GGTCTTAGCTGGTCAGGCTGGAAGATGACCAGCTAAAACCAGCTTGATCAGCCTAGCCAAGCTGGGAGTCCAGCCATAACCAGCTAAATCCAGCTTAAACCAAGCTGGATTTAACCCCTCTAAAACCAGACTGGTCGACCAGCTAAAACCAGCCTAAGCTGGTTTAAGATGGATTTTTCAGCAGGGTTGGCCCAGTTCAAGGCAACTGTACATAGTGTGAGTACGCCCTAAGAGAAAGGCAGTGGTGGAGCAGCTCAGATAGCAGTGTTGTCAAGCTCTGCACTCGGACGCTGACGCATGAAATGTGTCCAGGCAAAATGCAAATACACAAACACACATGGACGCAGCATAAAACTTCCAACTCACTGCTGGACTAATATTTACTTTTGTGTTTAGTGTCTTTATCCACATCATATAATGCTCATGTGACGGCTGCTGTCCTGAGTAGCAGAACATGAGGAGGGCTGCGGGTGTGTTTGAGCAAACACACCCAAAACACACATCTATTATTACACAACAAAAAACCTGCAGACCTGGACTGGATTCCGAACGCACACAGGTCCTGATCTACCAATGCTCATTTGTATTTAACAAAATACATTTCATCATGTTTACCTTCTTTTCTGGTTTAATTGTACACTGTACTAATGCATGGCTGCACACGATCGATTTGTGTCAGGACAACATGAAGGAATTAAGTTAACTTAATTGTAGTGGCTTGAACGTAAAACAGTTAAGTTTCCCCCAAAGTACTCAAGATAGTGTTGTTTCAGCTGATTTTAGATGACTAGTTTGAACAAGCAGCAGACGCCAGTGTTTGAGTGGAATTTAAGTCCACATCTGAGGGTGTACTCCATTACAGAAATGTTTTTTTTAATCTTCAGGATCTTAAGATATGATCATAAATTCTATTACAGCAGCAAATCTTTATTTGATTTGGGATTTGGGTAACACTTAATAATAACTACACACTATAAATCATTTATTAAGCATTAGCAAATAGTGAATTCATTATCAGTTAAGCATTAACTCTACATTAATAAGCGCTAGTAAGCAGTTTATAACTGCAGCTACAAATGCTCTATTCTTGACTTATAAGCACCTGTATAATGTGTTCAATAATTGTATTTTCATACTTAGTTAATGATTTATTTTTCATTACTAAATTAAGTATCGCATTATTTACAAACCATTTGTAGTTGAGGGTTTTAGGATGATTCAGAATGAGTTAGTAAATGATTAATAAACTATTGAAATCAACATGTATATGTCTTATTAATCAGGTATATACTAATAGTTAACTAATAAGTTAGTAAATGCTTTATTAACTCAACTTCATGCAGTTTTGTGACCTGATCTAAAGTGAGGACTATTCATGCCTTATAAATCCCTTATAAATGACAATTAAAGGCTCTGAATCAAAGGAACAAAACATCTTTGCAATCTTTTCTAAAAAGTACAATTTTGATAAAGTTTAAACATTGTTGAATAACAGGAGAGTCAAAATACAACATCCAACTGGATAAAACAACAAAAGCAATATAGTAATTTAACAATATAATAAGATGCAGTGTTTAAACTCTACAGTGATTTTATTTTAGATTAGGTTGCACATATTTATTTTTTATTTGAAATGAATGAATAGGACATTATGAAGGACGAATAAATGAATAGGAATGAATAATCTCATTCTTTTTGTTTAGAATTTGACTGAGCCTTTATTTGTCATTTATAAGGGACTTATAAAGCATAAATAGTGCTCACTTTAGTTTAGGTCACAAAACTAGATGAAGTTGAGTTAATAAAGCATTTATTAACATACTTAGTAACCATTAATATATGCCTGAATAATAAGAAATGCATGTTGATTTCAATAGTTTATTAATCATTTACTAACTCATTCTGAATGATCCTAAAAACCTCAACTACTCTTCAATACAGCTGGTTTGTAAATAATGCAATACTTTATTTAGTAATGAAAAATAAATCATTAACAAAGTATGAAAATACGATTATTAAACACATTTTAAATATGTTTGTAAGTCAAGAATAGAGCATTTGTAGCTGCAGTTATAAACTGCTTACTAACGGTTATTAATGTAGAGTTAATGCTTAACAGATGATGAAATCACTAGATGCTAATGCTTAATAAATGGTTTATAGTGTGTAGTTATTATAAAGTGTTACCGGGATTTGTTTTATGCTATCTTCAACAGATCGTATCTTATCTCTAGTTAGAGGAGTTTTCAATAGTGTCATCAAGTTCCACAGTCCACTCTCGGGTCAGTTACCACGCAACCAACACTGCTCCGGCTGCTAATGACCTAGCCTAAACAAAATGGACAAACAAAGCCGCTAATGCATTGTAGATCTCTGCTGGTTGCATTTCCTGTGCTGCTGACTGCAATATCATGTTGCGCAGCAGCCTGTAATTACTTAGAAATGTCAGGATCCTCCATAAGCTTTTCTACCTATAAACATCTTCGCTGTTCGTATTCACTCAGGAATTGTTCTGCCACTGTTGTTGGATTGAGCAGTTTTAAAGGTTTATTAAGCTTTTGAATCATTTTGAAGTTAGGAAAGCTGTAGGACAGTACAATGCATGGTTTGGGAAAATAATGTAGTGACGAGTGTTTCCCAAAACCTGTAGTTTCTCAGTAGCAGATCCGTCGTTTGAACCACGTCAGTTAAAATGTAAAACTACAGCTCCAGAGGTGAGGTTGCAAACGTACAAGTTTGCGACGCAGTTTGCGATGTTGGTGGGAACAACGGATTTGGAAAACGCCAAATCAATGTTTGTAACGACGGAACTTGCGACCTTTGTTGGCTAACGATGGTTTTCGGAAATGCGCTCCTGTATAGTTGACATAAGATAAAACACTTAGCCTTTGACCTAAATGTGGTTCTAACTAAAATGACTGAAGTGACCAAACAGATAAGATTTTAAAGCTCCCTGATGCACAGTTGAAGTCTGAATTATTAGCCCCTCTGTATATACACCCCCCCCCCCCCCCCAAATTTCTGTTTCAAGAGTTCACACTTAGATACTGTTTGACAACTTGTTAGCAAGTTAGCAGGTTTGGCATGCTGTGCCGGGAGAGAACCCTGAGCTCGGAGATAGTTGAGCCCAGGGCTCCCGCCAGGTCCATAGAGCATGTGAGGGGAGTACGAGATCAGGTGTTCTCGAGAGCTCCCCTCGGCAAAAGAGGAAAGGAGGAGAAGGGGTGGATGGGGGGGTTTCTTCGGGAAACGAAGATAAGGGAGTAGTTCTTAGCTAGGTTACTTATAGTGAGTTTGGATGAATCTGATTGGCTAGCCAATGAGTGTAGATGTGTGGCCAGCTGCAGTCAATCATATCACATGCTCCTCTCGAAATTAGTTTGTGAAACTTCATTTAACAGAGCAGATTAGATTTTTTCAACACAATTCTGCACATAGTAAGTTTAATAACTCATCTCTAACTGATTTATTGTATCTTTGCCATGATGTCAGTAAATAATATTTTACTAGATATTCTTCAAGACACTAGTATTCAGCTTAAAATGACTTTTAAAGGCTTAACTAGGTTAATTAGGGTAAAGTTAGAGTAATTAGGCAAGTTATTGTATAACAGTGGTTTGTTCTAGAGACGATCAAACACAAATATTGCATATAGGGGCTGATAATTTTGACCTTAAAATGGCTTTAAAAATTTTTAAACTGCTTTTTTCTAGCCGAAATAAAACAAATAACACTTTCTCCAGAAAGAAAAAACATTATCAGACATACTGTGAACATTTCCTTGCTCTGTTAAACATCATTTGGAAAATATATATAAAAAAAAAAAAAAAAAAGAAATCAAATGGGGTGTATAGTTTTCATTTCAGCTGTATATTTCATTGCATTGTTTTTTTTTTTATCTTAAATCATTTCAAAATGAATCAGTTTTTTAAAAAAAAAGCTTCATAAGAATTATAAACATTTTTTCTGATGGGGAATTTTTTATTTTTATTCTGCAGTCATAGTAAAGTCTATATTTCTGGAATAGATTCATTGGTAAAACCTTTCTTCACATGAACAGATGGTCACAAGCTCCTGCTTTTTATGAAGACTACACTGAACTAAAAAAAAAACATCCGCAGGTTAAGTTTAGATTAAGACTTTCTTCAGCAAGTTTCCTCTTTGCTTCTGCAGTGGAGTAATTTGTACATGTCAGCCACACGCCCTCTGCTGGCCAACATGTAAAATATAAAACCAGCAGGAAATACACTACAAAAAAAGCTTTTTCTTAAGAGTCTTGTCTTGTTTCTAGTGCAAATGTCTGAAAGTTATTAAATCAAGAAGCATTTTTAGAAAAGTAAAAGCATTGACCTTTTCCTTAAAACAAGCAAAATAAGATTATTAATTTAGCCAGCAGCTAGCTCTCTGCAACTCTCACATGGTCGCCCACTGAAGCTAAGCAGGGACACCACATGGGAAAGTGGCGTTAGTGAGGCCAGCAGCGGGTTAGTGATGCGCTGATGGCGTTTGCCCTGCTGAAAAATCCAGCTTAAACCAGCCTAGGCTGGTTTAAGCTGGATTTTTTAGCAGGGGAGCGCTGCGGAGAATCAGTGGGTCAGTCGGATAATAAAAAAAATGCATTATGATTAATTATGGGTGGATGTAGCGGGACATGGCAGTAGACCAGTGAAAAAAGCAGAATGGGAAGATAACGGATCCAGAATTATCTAATAATTCAGGGGGGCTAATAATTCTGACTTCAACTGTACAGTATATGAGGAGAAGGAAACAATGGTGTTTGGGGCTTAAGGTATGTAATTTCAGTGTATTAAACGCTTTTCAACTTTGCCTATACGTATATATACGTATAGTTTTACATTATTTGGCACCTTAAAAGTCTTTTTAAAGACATTCCAGACTTGAATTGCCCAGAAATTGCGTGATTTATTGAGTAGTGAAGTAGTAATGCTGCGTGCTTGTCCTCAGAATCAGACGCAGCAGCACCAGCAGACGGCTGCGCAGACGCAGACACAGACGCAGCAGGCTCCGACACAGCAGAGCTCAGCGCAGACCAACGGCACATCAGGCACCGCAGGGGCAAACACAGGGCCCTCCATGCAGCACGGCCAGGACCAGGGGCCACCAAACAAAAAAACTCGCACCTCAGGAACCGGTGTTCATCAAACAGACTACCAGGTAAGCAGTGGGCTAAAGAAATGAACTACAAATACTTAAATTACTGCAATTGACCCTTAGCAAAGCCCTGCGCCACTTCCCTTTGCCTGACAGACACTTATGACGCTCCCCTATCAATTTGTGCACACCGCACACCCCGGTTAGTGCACCTCACTAGTATTCAAACAGCAATACTAGGCATGAATATATAAAGCGTAGTGCAAATATAAACAGCCCTTAATTGCCCTATAGGCTGTTAAACACAGAAATGGTTGGATGTGATGACATCAGTAATATGCAAATTGACGTAAGACTTAATCTAGTGGCATTTAGCGACTTTTTGGGCAGAACTTTGCACCTTTTCATTGTTGGCAACATTGAGTGTAATGATAAGAAGCTTGCATCATTATTTGAATATAATTAAAATATTACATTATTGTAGGGATGGAACACAGTTTAACCCAAAGAATGAGCAGTCTGGTAGATGAAGAAGAGCCGGAGTCAGAGATTTAAATAAATAAATCAAGTTTACTGAAGATAGTTTGCAGTTTCATCAGCAGAAGCTAGCTTCAACACTCGCAATGAGCTCCTAGGCCGCTTTGCTTACAATCACCAATCAACAACAATTACTGTGTCACACATATAGGTGTTCTAACCTGATTGGTTAAAACAAATAGACAAGGAAGATTTCCACGTGGGGTTCATGCGTATATTCTGAACAATATCTTAAGCATAAACGTCAGACATGCCAGACTGATTAGAGCTGACTCCAGACCTGTGAAACGGATCAACAATCAAATGGAACACACACTTTGGGCTCTATTTTGACGGTTCATGCGCAAAGCGCAAAACGCAGAGCGCAAACGCTTTCAGGGCGTGTCAGGACGTGTTTTTGCTAATTTAAGGACGGGAAATCTGCCTTGCGCCATGGCGCATCGTCTAAAAGGGTTGAGTTTATTTTCTTAATGAGTTATAGGTGTGTTTTGAGAATAAACCAATTAGAGTCTCATCTCCCATTACCTTTAAGAGTCAGCTGCGTCGCGCCAAGAGCGCCTTCGCTATTTTCGGGACGCAAAGTAAGTCTTAGTGGAAAAAATTAGGCATTTCACAAGCAAACAGTTTCACAGTTTATTAACAGAAAACAGTTAAACAGAGCATCTACTGCGTGAGAATGAGAGATAATGGATCTACTTTCACATTCGCTCTTGGATAGGGAAACCTTTACGCACAGACATCCATTAGTCTATAAATAAATAATTTTGTTTGTTAAGCGCAAATATTTGTTTCAAAACTATTTCTAAATTCAGTTCTAATTTCCAGCAAATGAATAAATGAACAATAATAACAAAGTGTGCTCAAAAACCTGAGTTATATCCTAAAACACATGCTGTGCCCCATATGGTCTAAAACCTGCAGGTGGACAAATCTAAGCTTGTTTTTAATAAAACAAATATAAATATGGATATAATAAATAATACTGCTAATAATAATAACATTATACAAAAGCAAATTGTTATGAATGAACTGAAAAAGCCTCCCGAGATGAAGAAGACATAAAAGCAGTGGTTTTTCATATTTATGTAGGCTAGAAAATAATATGTTTTGTAATATTTGAATCCTTTATATTTATATTCTATATCTATTCTTATTATATCCTATATATATATATATATATATATATATCCTTAATATTTACATTTTTTTATATGTAAAGATATTTGCCTATTGCTCTCTTGTGCGTATTAAGCAGTGTGTAAGCGAGGCGCAGCTCTGCGCCGGAGTTTAGACCGGGTTTGTTTTAGTCTAATGAAAAATCAATTATAGATTCTCAAAATAGCAACACGCCAGCGGTCCACCTCAGAACGCCTCCTTTTTAGACCAGAACGCCTATGGGCTTAGATATGAGCGCTAATGCATTTGCTATTTAAACAGCGTAGGGCAACGCCTCAAAACGACTCTTGCGCCAAGCTGAAACTACCAAAAGACTACTGCGCCGCGCCTTGCGCCACACTGCGCCGGGTGTATGATAGGGCCCTTAAAGTTTAATCTGTTTCTTACCCAAGGCTGAGTGTACTCTCAGCCGTCTTTATCAAAACTGGTTAAAAACCGGTATAATCTACATTCAGGCCGTTGTAATCCTTACTACACAAAGTCTATTTTAAATAAAAAAATAGAATCACTTTAAAATAATTAACCGTAAGAACATCAAAATCACTTTAGACATTTTAGATAGTGTTAACTACTAGAAATAACAATAGAAACAGTTGATTCCAGTCCTCAGCCCTAGTTTAGGCCCTTAAACACAAATTCAGCGTCATAATGAACATATCACAAAAAGGAAACTAGCCAATCCTGTAGATCGTTCATCATCAGGATATCCACTCCTACACCATCTACAACAGACAAGCAAGTTTCAGTTCAATGCTGCCAACATCATCGTGTGAAATCCTAACACAACCTCTTTTCTCTCGTTCTCTTTCTTTACAGCACTCCAGCTCCCGACTTGGCTACCAGAGCAACATCCAAGGCTCCACCCAGTCGCAAAGCACTATGGGATATTCATCCTCATCTCAGCACTCTCATCAGTCTCACCGATACTGAGACTCAAGAACATGCACTCAAATACTTAACATATTTACCACAAGCAGAAGACCAGGCAAATCAGCATTGTCATTCAGTCGGAGTGTCGGGTCAGCCCCGCATTCGAGCCAGCATATCCAAAACAACACAGTTACACAACGCCACTCCAACCAAAGCACAACTCTGCAACCCTTTCCATTGAGCAGAACTTCTCTGAAGGACCAGAGCCATAATCATCCATCAGAACTGGACATCTCAGCAGATTTAATCATCCTCCATCGCCAACCATGCCTAAAGATCCGTAATACTCACACGGTCTTATTTAATGACCATTAGACCAAACCAGTCTCAAGACATAAGTGGAATGCTGCGCAGGTCATGGTTACAGAAGGAAGTGACTTTTTAAACTGTAGTTTCTTAAAGGGGCAGTACACACAATAATGAATTTTCCTCAGCGTTTACTCACACTGGTCCTACACAGAGTTTCTCTCTTCTGTTGAAGACAAAGGAAGATATACTGAAGACTGTTAAAAAAAAAAGCAGCCAATAGCCGTGTTTCCATACAAATATGCAAATTGGGTTCATGCGCAAAACTGCAACATTGCATAAAACATTAGCAAATAAGGGTGCTTTCACACCTGCCTTATTTAGTTGGGTTGAATCGCACTAGAGTTCGTTTCCCCTTTTGGTGCGGTTCGTTTGGGCCGGTGTGAATGCAGCAATCGTACTCGAGTGCGCACCAAAAGCGCAACAAATAAGCGTGCCGAGACCTGCTTGAAGAGGTGGTCTCGGTACACTTTCAAACGAACCCTGGAACGGTTCGTTTGTGGTGAGAATATGATCCGAACTAAAACAGGTCCAACCGCAAAAAGTACTGCGCCTTTTGGACTAATCCAGCTGCCGTAGGCTGATGCGCTGTGCATTATGGGATATGGAGGAAAAATATTTGTTGACAGCGCTTTACCAACAGAGAGAGAGAGAGAGAGAGGGGAAAACATTACCTGATGGATCGTTGGTAATATTTCCGCTAGATGTCGCAGTTTAGCTAAATTATTCACGCCTCCTCCTGAAGTGACGAGTGATGCATTTAAACATTGTTTTCCAGCTGCGGCCGCGCTTCATTGTCGAAATGTATAGTTTGTCTAAAGCGCAGTCGTCCCTCCAGAGTAAAACGACATTTTGTGTCTGCCGGTTTGTTTACTTGCGGGAGTTCATTGGCATTTTCCCGCATGTGAATTCTAACCAATCAATAGGGATTCATACATCTGAATTTTTTACTGCGTACGCACATTTACAGCTTTGTCCGTTTTAGTACTAATTTAACTCTAGTCTTCGTACATGAGGCGCCTGGACACTTTTTGCTTGCACATTTTGCTGACGTGTGCCATCTAAACTGCAAAAAATGCTTTTCTTACTTAGATTTTTTGTCTTGTTTCTAGTCCAAATATCTGAAAATTCTTAACTCAAGAAGAATTTTCTAGACAAG